TCGATTAGCATCACTTTTGTACATAGCTATTGAGCTATTGTGATCCTCTGCTAGGACTTTCGTATATATTAATTATTACAAATGAGGGAATCCATGGAGCTTATATTTCTTTTTTATTATTTTTATTTTTTTATTTTTTGGGTCCAGTCGTGGGGTCTGAACTCTGGGCTTGGGCGCTGTCCCTCAGCTCTTCAGCTCAAGGCTAGCGCTCTACCACTTAAGCCACAGCGCCACTTCTGGCTTTTTTTTTCTTTTTGCTTATGTGGTGCTGAGGAATCGAACCTAGGGCCTCAGGCATGCAAGGCAAGCGCTCTACCACTGAGCCACCTTCCCAGCCCTGGAGCCTATACTTCTTTGGGTCTAGCTTACTTCTGGTGCTCTTTGTCTTGTATATAAGTCTATCTGACTTGGAGAAGGAAGGGGAATCACAGAAACAGTGAGACAAAGGGTGAACTAATGGAATAGCGATACTCACTAGATACTATGTTGGAAATGAACTTTATAATGGAGGGGAGGCGAGTCGGGAGTCGGGAAGGAAAAGTGGGAGTAAATGGGAGGGTAACACTGTTGGACAAGAAATGTACTTATGGAATTGTAACCCCTCTGTACATCACCTTTATAATAATATTTTTTCAAAACAGAATAGGAGCTGAAAGAAGACTAGTTTAGTCAAAAATAAGGTCCAGGTTGTTGCTTTTGGCTCAACTCCTGTACCACACCTAGGCAAATGGTTCTCAGCCTCTGCAATAACCCCTCTGACAACAAAAAGTCAAATTTACTCTTTCTGAAGCAATCCACTGTTTCACAAAGTTTTCATTTTGAGGTTTTCTTCCTTACTTTGAACTGAAATGTGCCTTGGGTGACAGAACAAATCAAATGCCTTTTCTACATGATAGGGTAAGGCAATTAACTTAAGGAAAATGAGGAGGAGGAGGTGGGAAAGGCAGTCCATTTTGAACATGTTGCTTGTCTGAAGCACTGGGAAGACACATGGCCAGCAAGTTGTCGATATGCAAGTTTGGAATTCAGTAAGGAGATCAAGGCTGTCATTTACACAATGGTATGATTTGAAGCTATGAAAATAAATGTCAGTGCTATTTTAGGGCTAGAGCTAATGAAAGGTACTGGGGATGGTCAGCAAGGTAGGCAGAGAGCTTTTATAGAAGAAAGTAGGTAATTTGTGGAAACTCATACGATGAAGAGGGCAGAAAAACCAATGAACCAACCAGTCATTGAATTTGATGCGCAAGAGATCACCACTAATCCCTGATTGAGTTGTTTCTCTGATGCCCTCCCGAGTTGCTCAGGAGCCACACTACCATGCCAAAAAAAAAAAAAAAAAAAAGGAAAAGAAAAGAAAGCTGGGGCTGGGAATGTGGCCTAGAGTGCTTGCTTTGCACGCATGATAGCCCTGGGTTTGATTCCTAAGTACCACATAGACAGAAAAGGCTGGAATTGGTGCTGTGGCTCAAGTGGTAGAGTGTTAAGCAAATGAAGCTCAGGGACAGTGCCGAGGCCCTGAGTTCAAGCCCTAGGATCTAGCAAAAAAACCAAAACCAAAACACACAAAAAAAAAGCTGGTGCTACTTCTTATCAGACCACTGAATGAGAGGTGATCAGATGTAGCGGCAGCAAGCACAGATAAGTCCAACATTCCATAGCCTGGATGTTAAGACAGGTTTCTCCAAGTAATATACCCATGTTATGTTACTATTTTAAGGGTACAACACTGTCTAGTAGAATCTCTCCTGGACACTAATCATGTAAAGAACCCCATTTCCCCATTAAACCTGTAGTTGCCCAACCAACTCAAACAACTGTTTTTCATGTAAAATACTATGTTTGAGTTTTTTTTGGGGGGGGGCAGGGGGCGGAAATTCATGGGCCTTGAACTCAGGGCCTAGACACTCCCTGATCTTTCTTGCTCAAGGCTAGTGCTCTGCCACTTTGACCCACTGCGTCACCTCTGTTTTTCTGGTGGTTAATTGTGGCTAAGAGTCACAGACTTTCCAGCTTGGGCTGGCTTTGAATCATGATCCTCAGATCTCAGCTTCCTGAGTAACTAGGATTACAGGCATGAGCTACCAGTACCTGGCTAATAACTATGTTCTTTTGTTTCTTTTTTTTGTCAGTCGTGGGGCTTGAACTCTGGGCCTGGGTGCTGTCCCTCAGCTCTTCAGATTAAGGTTAGCGCTCTACCACTTGAGCTACAGTGCCACTTCCGGTTTTCTGGTGGTTTATTGGAGGTTTATTGGAGATAAGAGTTTCACGGACTTTCCTGCCTGGGCTGGCTTTGAACTGCGATCCTCAGATCTCTGCCTCCTGATTAGCTAGGATTACAGGCGTGAGCCACCAGTGCCCGGCATAACTATGTTTTTATGTATGTGCTGGTATTACGACTTGAACTCTGGGCCTCATGCTTTCACTTGGCTTTTTCAAGGCACATTATCAGTTGAGCTACACTTCTACTTCAGGCTTTTTGGTGGTTAATTGGAGATATGAGTATCCTGGACTTTTCTACTCAGCTGGCATTAAACCATGATTCTGAGATCTCAGTCACCTGAGTTGCTAAGATTATAGGCATGAGGCATTGGAGCCAAGCTACACAATACTATTAACATATCAAGGAAGTAGTAGTTCCTGGCACAAAATCTGGCAATTGCAGTGAGCAAAGAAAGAGAAACAACAATTTAAGGGATGGTTTGTATAAGGGATTTTTTTTTCTTTTTAAGAATGGAAGAAGCTGGGCACCTGTAATCCTAGCTACTTGGTAGGCTGAGATCTCAGGACTGCAGTTCAAAGCCAGCTGGGGTAAGAATGTCCATGAGGCTCTTCAAATTAAACCACCTAAAAACTTTAAATGGAGCTGTGGCTCAAAGTAGTAGAGCACTAGCCTTGAGCAAAAAGAGCTCAGGGATAGCACCTAGGCCCTGACTTTGAGCCCCAAGACTGACAAAAAAACCCCACAAAAACAAAAACAAAACCAGAATGGAAGAAGCTGGGCATGATGGCACCTGCCTGTTATTTTAGCATTACAGAGACTAAGTCTAAGTTTCAGACCAGCCTGGGGTACATAACAAGACCCTACCTCAGAAAACCAAAAGAAGGGGACAAATACATTTACATGCAGAGGAAAAGAATCATGTGTAGAGTAGGAAGGGTAGAAAGGAAGAGAACAAGCGGAATTCAGACACTGGGGTTAGCCCAGTAAAGGGCCTCAACTTAGCGCCAGGGCCATAAAACATGATTTGAATCTAATGATCACAAAAGGTGCCTATTCTGAACCATATCTACTTTCCTCAGAGGACAAAGATGTTATCTAGACAAGGCTAAGGGCAGATTATATAAAACGGATTCACTAGAAAGAGCATCTTGCTCTTCCCTCCCCCCACTCCTCCCCAGGGAAAACTTGAGCACATCTTTGCCTGGGCCACAGAAGGGTATTCCAGATCAAGAGTCCATGCCCCACTCCCCTGCCCAGGCAGAGAGAGTGCTAGCACAGGTTAGACAGAGAGGAGAAATCTAAAAATAAAGCTCTCTGAAGAAACTGTCTTGCCTAAAGAGCAGCTTCCCACGCACACTGGAGTGCCACATCTGCGGGGGCTGGAAGCATAAGAACAGAACCATCCTGACCAAGTCACATAAGTATTACCCATTTTCAGAGTGACAGCACATTTCTGGTTTTCCCATCCGTGGACCAGTGTTTAGGCTGCAGACCTGGAGCAAGTTGCATTAGTGACAGCAAGTAGGTCTTCCTTTTTCAGGAAGGAGACTGCAAAGATAGCTGGGCCTTGTTCAACCTTTCTACCCTTCCCCTTCCCCCACAGGGGGAGGTGAGTGCAGCAAATGCTCTCCTCATCCAGGAGTAGAGTTGAGGGTTTACTTTAGGAAGGAATTCAAAGGGTTCCTAGTAGGCTTCAGGCTGAGATGGGCTTCCTGGGCTACATTTCCTGCAGTAGGCTAGTCAGGGCCTACCACTGGGGGAAAAGAAAAGGCAGGCCCTGAGAACTGCAATTAGCATTGCCATCAGTTAGCTATCACCACTTCACACCCCAAGGACACAGCAATTGTCATGTTGCCAGGCAACTAGCAAATGTAGCTTCCCTACCCCCAGCAAGTATTGGAGAACACCAGATAAAGTTCAACTCAACTGTGGTAGCCCAGTCCGTCCTTAAGCACTAAACATGGCTATAGCTACTCCTGGCTCTGGGGAGTAATCCCACAACCTCTTTCTCTAAGGGCTTTGACCTTTGAGAGATACAATGTACTGGCAACCAGATTACCAGGAGTTTTGCCAAGAACCTGGGGCAGGAAGAAGGAAATGATCCCTAATTCTAAGAGGAGTTCCCAATGTTTCTTTATCAGTCCACAACCCTGGGAGGTTTGTACTTTGACCTGATAGTATTATACCACACATCAAGGGGCAGAAGCTCAACCTCAACAATATTACCAAACAGCTTTCCACAGTAATAAGTTCAATGTTCTATATCTGCCCCCCACTTCCCTAGGGAGCATATGTGCCATGATTCACAGACACAGCCGACCACTGAGTGCAGCCGGTTCTGAGAGGAAGATAGCAACACAATGAAACACCCAAAATGCAGCAGCAACCTGTCAGTTCTTTGGTCTCTTTAAAGAGTGTGGAAGGGAATGGGGAGGTGCCAAGTTTTCCCCTCAAAGCACAGATTGCAAGTACTTTGAATATTTGAATGCTATTTGAATGCTGATTAGTAACAATCACTCAACAGTCTTTTACAATTAGAGCAAACTGAAATTTTCCCATACTGAGTTATTCATGAACCCAAAAAATGAAGAAACTGGCTCCCAGAAAGGGAGGAGAAAACTGACCATAAAATACATAACCTGCGCATACAATGTAAAGTGTTATTTTAGTGCTGGGAGTACACACTCCCTGCCCCACTAGTTAAATAAGTAGGGCAGGGCTGGCATGGAACTGCCTTCACCCAGCACCAGGCCTGGTGTTGAGAAGGGCAACTTACCTGACATACAAGGACCTCTTCTCACTTGTTCGCAGGGACCCAGACCCAGAACTCATGCTGCTGTTCATCATTTGTTCTCGCAGATCATGTATCTTTGACTCAAAGCGACTGTATTCTGTCAGGGAGAGAAGGAAAAAGAGAGGAAATGAGTGAACCCAAGGAGCATCCCCAGGGCCACATGCCCTCAGCCAAAAAGACAGGACACTTGGCTTCAAAGCAGCTATGGCTGGTTGAATCTTTGCTTCTCCTCCAAGCAGAGAAAGATGTCCCTCCCCTGGCAACTTACTAGAAGGAAAGAAAGTACCTAGAAAGAGGAGTGCCATTTGGGCATGACCAATAGAAACAGCTTTTATCTGCCTCAAAATCCCACTGGTATTTTTAAAAAAAACAACTGGAAAGAAGTTCCAGTGCAGCCTTTATAAATCTTTGGAACAAACACTAAGGCCCAAGGAGAGCAGATGGGCAAGGAGACTTTCCCAAAAAGCGGACTGCAGAGAACAGATGGCCCTGAGATGGGGTAGGCCTGGGGGGTGTTCTATCACTGTTAGGTGAGGACAGTTTTTCCCAGGGATGCCTTCTTTGGTGGTGGTGGTGGGGAGACAATGGATCCCAGTATAAAGGTTAAAAACAAATCTCAATCATTTGAGATGTAACAACTAGAACTCTCGGAGATATTTTCCCCTCCTAACAAACAATCTCCTCAGCTTTGGTAATAAACATTAAAACATAAATGCTTCCACATTCCAAAGATGGCTGACAACCCTCATCTCTAAAATCACCTAGTCAAGTGAGGCTGTTCCTTGCAGACCTAGGAGACCATCTCTACAGTCTGATGCAGACCTGCCATTATGGAAAGGAAGCTACAGGCTTATTGCTTAATTGAAGAAAATCTGACTGAGGTTTACTCTAGCCATACAATTATTATAAGAAGCACTTTTTGTAGGGCTGCTTTGCTATGACATTCTCCAAGTACATTTAAAATATGCTATGCACACACACATAACATTACACAACGTTTTTCAGGTCTATAATTGCTGTATAAAATGGGGTACATCTAAGGCATAGGGTATGGAAATGACAGAACACAGAACATATTTCACTGTGACAAGCTGACTTTAAAGGAAGTCAAATTTTATACTAGAGGTTGAAGGCTGGTAAATGCTTTTTTAAAAAAATAAACCAATACACTTTCAGGGGAAAAAATTCCACAAAAGCATTTTTATGCACCATAGAGGCCTGGCCAAAAGCACCCCACCTAGTCTGTGTGACTCAGCAGGAGAAAACAAAACACCTGCTCTAACACCTGCCAATCCCCCTGCTCCCTGGGCAAAGCAACCTGACCTTCATTTCAGCTTCAGCTGGAAATGCTGAGAAGCCTTAAAGGGGGGGAGGGGTGTGCGCGCGCACGGTGTATGTGTGTTTGTGGTGTGTGTGTGTGTATGTATGTGTGTGTGTGTTTCTAGAAGTCAAGCAAATAGCTTCTTCTCAATAAAGTTTCTTTTTGTTCACTGTGATATCAAGGAAGCCAACTGGTTAAATTCCTATGTTCTTTCATTCATCACGCACGGGTGTTATGGTGATTTGTCCTCATTACCTACACTAGTCCCTGAAATCCGGAGGAAGCAATTGAGTCCCTGACTCACCCATTAAATGTTCAAGGGGGGGGGGAGCAGAGAGACAATAGCTGGAAAATGTCCCTATTCCTGGGGTTACAAAGCAGCACATCAATATCAATGAGGAGTCCCAAACTAAAGGAAAAGGTTGGTAACTGATCTGTCATATAGAAGCCCTGTACTGCCTAAAAGTACAGCAGTAGGCCAGTTCAACTCTATAAAGAAATCCAGGCACTGGCCTCACCCCAAGGCTCCACATCTAACGGTAGTTGGGGATCATTTCTCCCCACATATTTAATTAGCATCAATTAATTGTAACAAGGATGTTTAATTTTGAATATCCAAATGTGCATACAATGAACCTAGATAGACCCGCTCCCTTCATCATTCTCCCTTATTTCCCCCCTTTCCAGACTAATCCCAACAAGCTTCATTGTTCCATTTTCACACATGACCAGAAAGTCTTTACAGCATGTTCACCCTCCTTTAACCATATGTCTGCCCTCCCCCATCCAACTAGTACCCACACGCCTTATAGAATGTGTTCCACATTTCTCTATTTTTGTGTATGCATGCTAGTCCGGGGACTTGAACTCAGGGTCTGGGCACGATCCTTAAGCTTTTTTTTTTGCTCAAGGCTAGTGCTCTACCACTTGAACTATAGCTTTAATTCTGGCTTTTTTGGGGGTAGTTAAATCGAGATAAGACTTTCTTACCCAGGCTAGTTTTGAACCATAATCCTAAAATTTCAGCCCCCTGAGTAGGTAGGATTACAGGTGTGAGCCACCAATGCCTGGTTTACCTTTCTATTTTGTTAGTTAGTGGATGCCCCTTGTTCAAAGGGTTTCTACCCTGGTGTTTCACACCTGCATATAGTTATTAAGACTCCCTCTCTTTGACTCACTTTCATCACCCCCACTACCTTCTATTCAGTGGGTTTCATCATTTCTTGGTCCTTCTTTTCTGGCTCTCCTTGAAACTCACTCATGAAGGAAGAACCACACACAACAAGAAAGATGTATAAAAGGACTCTGCATAAAACGCAGAACAAAAGTTACCCAGTCTATCCATAACCTATTTCTCCACTCCTGAAACTTCTTTACATATTGCCTTCTTTGGAACTGACTTGCCTGCTGAACTCCAACTTACCAGTAGGTCATGGCAGTCACTTAGTAACTACATTTCTTTAAAAATCCTTAAAACAGGACTGGGAATGTGACCTAGTGGTAGAGTGCTTGCCTAGCATGCATGAAGTCCAGGGTTCGATTCCTCAGTACCACATACACAGAAGAAAAGCTGGAAGTGGCGCTGTGGCTTAAGTGGTAGAGCGCTAGAACCCAGGACCAGAGTTCAAGCCCTAGGACTGACCAAAAAATAAAATCCTTAAAATAAAAACTGACAGCCAGGCGCCAATGATTCATGCCTGTAATCCTAGCTACTCAGGAGGCTGAGATATAAGGATTGTGGTTCAAAGCCAGCCGGGGCAGCAAAGTCCATGAGACTCTTCAGTTAAGCACCAAAAAACTGGAAGTAGTGCTGTGGCTCAAGTAGTAGAGCACTAGTCTTGAGCTGAAGTGCTCAGGGACAGCACCCAGGCCCAGAGTTCAAGCCCCACGACCCGACAAAAAAAAATCCTTTAAAAAAATTAAAAATAAACCTAAACCACCATTTCCTCAAACATCCTAATTTAAGGTTGATAATTCCGGGTCAGAGACCCACTTAAAATAAGCCACAGAAAGAGAACAAAAGTATTGTTTTAAAGAATTCAGTCTTTGTTTTAACATGCACTACTAAGATTTGAAGTTTATTAAACTGTATTTTATTCACTATTTTCCCACTCGGATGATACCTCCCGCCCCCCAGAGTTCTGGCTACTTATCAGTCTCTAGTTTCTATTTGTAGAGTTATCTAATGTTCATTAAGCACAGAGCAGCCTTGGACTAAATGACTGCTGGGTAAATGAGGAACAATGTAGAAAGCTGTCCAAGTTGAAGCTTCTGTTCTCAAACTAATAAACGTAATGGTTTATTTAACTGATAGCTCTCAGTTTCACTGCTGGTTTGCAAAGGTAGTCAAGAAGAACTCCCATTTAGATTTGTTCTTGGGGTTAATTGCTGCAACTATGGTTTACATTTTTTTGTATGTTGAGCAAATTCTTTTAAAAATGTTTATTGTAAAGATACTGTACAGAGGGGTTACAGTTACATGAGTAAGATAATGAGTACATTTCCAATTGAGCATTGTTGCCCCCTCCGTTTTTCCCCTACCATCCCTTCCCTCCCCACCTCCTCAACTCCTCCCTCCTCCCCCCTATGGTTTACATTTTAAACACCCTTTGGAGATGTTAATAACTCACACTGGGCATCCAATTAACATACTTAGTGTACAACAAAGAAAAAAATATAATTACCAGATTTATTGGTACTAGAGTTTGAACTCAGAACCTGGAAGCCCAGAGTCCTCCATCATTGAACCCTACCTCCAGCTGTGTGTGCACATGTGTATATGCACACTGATACTGGGACTTGAACTCAGGGCCTTGTGCTCTTGTTTGGCTTTCTCTTTTGCTCTATCATTTGAGTCACAGCTCTACTTACAGATTTTTTTTTTTGTAGTTAATTGGAGAAAAAGAGTCTCAGGGGCTTTTCTGCCTGGGATGGCTTCAAATTTTGTTCCTCACATCTGTCTCCTAAGCAGTGAGGATTACAGGTGTGGGCCACTTGGTACCCAGCTTTCACTGGTTATTTTTGAGATAGTGTCTGCTTCCTTCCACGGCTTAAGCCTGGAGTGCACCTATTTTAGGCTTGCCATTATTTCTGGAATGGCAGGGTTCCCCATTGTGTCCAACCATGGTCCATCAAGATGGATTCTCAAGGACTGGACTGGTTTGGAACCACAGTCCTTCCAATCTCATTTTACCAAGTAGCTAGGATTACAAGTTTGAGCCACCAGTGCTAGCCACTAAATGATTTTTATTGTTGAGAAAAATCTGAATTTTAAAATTTCACAAGATTTTCTGTTCCCCTCTACTTACCAGACTAACATAGTCATTGCTGGAGGGCAGCACTTAGGCTGAAGTCACTGTGTAGGAAGCCCACTTGACCAGCTTCCAACTGAGAGGGCCCACTTCAAATAGGCTACTTAAAGGACTGCTTATTACTAAAATCTCAAGTCTATTAAACTGCACTTTATTCATTTGTTCTCATTCAGACAAACCCAACCATTTGTGACACACAAAGATATCCACTATGAGTCATCCTTTGCTTCTTCCTTCCATGTTACCAGCTGCTTAGCTGCTAATCAGAGAGAGAAATGAGTCCAAAAGAGCATAACCAGAGCTGGGCACCGGTGGCTCATGCCTGTAATCCTAGCTACTCAGGAGGCTGAGATCTGAGGATCGCGGTTCAAAGCCAGCCTGGGCAGGAAAGTCACTGTGAGACACTTTGCTCCAATTAACCGCTCAAAAACTGGAAGTGGTGCTCTGGCTCAGTGGTAAAGTGCT